TTTTCAAAAAAAAAAAAAATTCAAAAAAAAAAAAAAAAAGTTTCAAAAAAAAAAAAAAAAAAGTCTAAAAAACGTATAACTATTATGAATTAGAAGCTTAAAAGGCTTAGAAGGCTTAGAAGGCATAGAAGGCATAAAAGGAACTTAGAGTTGATTTTATAGTTTCATGTTTAGACGGATTAGAGATAAAAATTTTAGATAATATAAGCCAATCAGAATATAATATTTTCAACCAATCATTGTTCGTTATTCAAATAGATCCAAACGGATCTACTAGATCGGATCCCAATATGGATCTGGATTCAGCAGATCTGAATTTTCATGGATCCGAATCTGATCTGAACACCGGATCCGGATCAGATCCAGGTTCTCGGATCGGATCTGCAGAACACTAGAATATAGCAACTAGTATTATTAATAAGCTCTAATGATTTTTACATAATTACATGATACAATCACGTTAAATTAAGAATAATTTCTCTTGAAATTATTAATAAGATTTAAAAAAGCTACTATTTAACTCCATTGTGATATTTAACTCTATTGTGATTGTGCTAACTTCTATTAAATTATTTATTCAAAAGCACCAATTGTTGTTGAGAATGATGAAAAAATATATGAAATTGTTAAATTATAAAGACTAGTTTTTATTTTGTATTTGGTTAATTATTTTTTAAAATAAGAACTAATACTTTTTTTCTTTGCAGGTTAAAGTAGTTAGAATATAAAATAGTATTCGAGAATTTGAACCTTGATAAAAAGCTAGAAATTATTAAATTATAATATCATTTTTTTAACTTATTTTTTCTTTAAAAAATAAAACTAATATTTTATTTCTTTTGTAGTTCTTTACTTTGTTGAAATAGCTAAAATACAAAATAGATATATATGAATAAAGAGTTTAAGATAGTTAAATAGCAAATACTGGTTTTTATTTTCTTGTTCTTCTTTTATTTGAAATAAAAATTAATATTTTTTTTATAGGTTATGTTTTGTTAGAATAGTTGTAATAAGAAATAGGCTTTAAAAATTTGTATTAAGTTCTGTTTTTTTATTTTGAGTTTTTTTTTAAACTATTTTTTTTCTACTTGAGTGATATTATTCTTTCTTTTATTCAAAGATAAATTATTAAAAAATAATATATAGCATATTATTATATCTTGATATAACTATATACTATTCTACAGATTTTTGTTCAGATTAACTTAGCTATATTAAGCATGTCTAAGTTCAATTTGCTACAGAAGTCATTTATTTCTTAAAAGTAGTTCACAATACAAATAGTATATCATAATTTTTGATTAACAATTAGCAACTTCTAGCTACTATTAAGATTTTAGATCTTTTTTAATTTAATTTAAGACTAAACTAAAAGTTGTAAATACTTAGTTTCAAGATAAAAAAAATAAAAATTATTACAGATAATGAAAAGCATAATGTTATATACTATAAGAATATGAGTATAATATAGAAAAACTTGCTAATAAGTAAAAAACTTAACTAGCTATAAGTAAATAGAAAGAAAAAAAAAAAAACAAATAAATGAAAACAAAAAGTAAAAAGAGAAATTTTTTT